AGTAATGTATTTTTTTAGTGGAATCTAGAACAAATATATATTTTTTATTTAGTGTTATATATTAGAAGACAAAGTATTTGTCTAGGTTTTATTTATAAAACGAAAGGTTTACTTAAGGGAATAAAGTATGGAAAATAAATGCTTATTATGCTTCAACTAGTATTTTAATTTTTTAATTTTTCGAAAGTGAACTCTTAGAGGTATCTTTAGGATATCTTAAAGATATCCTTAGCATATTTTGTAGTTATCCTAAGAATTATTTTTTATTTTTAGAAAAACAAACTTACGAATATAGAATATAGAAATATAGAATTTATGAAAATAGAATTCAAATATATCATCTATAATTAGGAAAGGAAAAACACCCTTTTTCAATTCTCTCGAATTCTCTAAAAGAAATAAATTTTCAACCAAAAATCTCTGTTTGTAATTTTGTATATATTCGTTTATCGTTATCTCTACTCGAAGGAAGTTGTTCTCTAGAATTGTATCTTGTCGTTAGATTATATATAAAAGGTTTTGTTTTTAGTGTCCGTTCCGTGTCCACTCTCTGGCGAACGGTACAATCGTCATTAAAATTTCAAATGAAATGAAAATTTCACTAGCTTTGAGTTTAGGATAATGGTTTTGATGAATATATATCAGTAGACCAAGGGAAACTGATATCAGAACGGTTATACCTTTGAGATTTAATATATTTAAGTGTATGTATAATATATAGGTATACATGTTTATATATTCAACTCTTGATTCTAATCTTGAGGAATAACTTGTTAGTATACAGTATACAAATATTATCTTCGTGTGTATTTTGACCCTCCATCAATCCATTTTCAAATGACGCAAAACCAAATAAAGTGTAGCGTTTTTTTTAAAAAAAGCCTTGAATAATCTTTTCCATTATAAAAAATCCTTTTTCAAAGTCATTTAGAATCCTCCCTATTTCATAAATCATCTTTTTACAAATTGTTCGAATTAAAAAAATTGTTCTGTTAATACGAAAAAATAAATATTATTTATTTATTATTCGCAGGAAGATCTAATGAGTAAATATTTGCTATTTGCTTTTGTACTTTAGCATTCATTTTATTTATATTATTATACTACATAATCACAGAAATTTATTTTATTTTAACAAATCGAAAATTCGCTCAGTTACATACTCGAGACGTTTGACCTACAAATGCTTGAAAATCGAATCAAGTTTAATTTCCTGTCATATATTTTCTATTTCGTATTGCATCCAGGAGATTAATTTTTATAGAAAATACAAGTACGGTATATCAATCGAGCTTTTCAAATAATAATTTTTATAAAATAAATGAACAAGTCCTTTTTTGTATTCTACAAAAACTACTGCGTAGAATCGAAAAAATACTAAACCCACTTGATTAAAACTATTTTTATATTAGTTATAATCTTTATTTTTCATCATTTATTCCATACACGTTTCCATACTGTGGGATGATTCACTCCTCTTTCTCTCCCCCTCATCATGAGGGTTAGAATAAATTGGAAATCTGACTCAGCATCTTTTCTCTTTAGGAGAAAATAATAAGACAATAAAAGAAACATTACTTGGAAAAATTCATGTAGAATATTATATTCTATTTTTAAAATTATCAAGAATTGTAAATTTTCCACTTCTTCACTTTCTCTGTTCAGTGTTGTTTTCTTTTTAATACAAAGATGAAATATAATTTTTTGAAAAATAGCACTTGTCTTGATGGCAAAAATAAAATAATTCTTCGCGGAGAAATTCGTAAAATTTTGCTGAGATACAATTTATACAATTGAGGGTAAATATACTTTTATCAGAGAAGAGGACTTCATGGAATAAAATTTTTCAATATTAGTAATCTTAGAGATTTATCGATTTATGTGAGAATTTATACATTTTACTCGCATCTAATCTTTACAGAATTTGTGTCATTTGACACATAAAAAGAATGTTTTTCTCGTGCGTGACAAATATATTTTTTATTAGACTTCGCAGTAGTAATTTGAAAACAAATTTAAAAATTGGTTTCTTAGAAATAATGAAAGGTTGTGTTTATAAAAAAAAACTGTATAGTTTGTTAATTTTTATAAAAAGGTAATGCATTTTTGATGTGCAGGGTTTTAGAAATCTTTGATCATAAATATGCTTTCCTAGAAGTAGCGGTAATTTTTCTAAAAGGATGTTACACCTTTTTTTATCTATAGACAATTTTTCTGTTGCCTTCCATTTTTTGTTATTGAATTCTAATTTCTATTTTAATTTACCTAACATGTTTGGTGTTTGTTTTGTCGACAAAATGATTCATGTTGTCGTTTGCTACTTTTCATTTTCTGCTTTATTTATTTTTTAATTATTTATTTTAACCTTAATTTATGGCATTTTTAGCATCATTAACATGGTATTCTAATGCTGTAACAGCATTTTCTGATGTTGTTTTTTTATTTCATACACGAAACTCAAACTTGCATACTTATTAACAACATTGTTTCGATATTCTAATGAAGCAATAATATTTAACGATATTTATGCTTTTTATTTTCTGTAATAACATGATTAGCATAACATTATTAGGATATTCTAATGCTGCAGCAATTTTTCTAATACTGTTTTTTTTATTCCTGTTCTTGTAACATTATTAGCATCATTACTACAGTATTCTAATGCTGCAACAACATTTGATTATGATGCTGCTTTGCATTTCATAATTAGAAAACATTATTAGGGCATTCTAATGTTACAGCAACAATTTCTGATGCAGCTTTTCATTCCCTGCATTACCATAATTTACAACATGATTAGCAACATTATAATGCTAACATGTAATTATAACATTCTAATGTTGCAACAACATTTGCTAATGTTGTTTTTTTAATCCATGTAAAACATAAACTTGCAGAACTATTAGCGTCTTTACTATGATAATTTAATGCTGCAACAACATTTAACGTTGATGCTTCTTTTTATTTTCTGCATTACCATATATACATCATGATTAGCAACATAATTAGGACTTTCTAATGTTGCAGCAACATTTTCTAATGCTTTTCTTATTCCTGAACTTACAGAATCATTAGCATCATTACCACGGTATTCTAATGCTGCAGCATCATTTTCTAATGCTGTTATTTTAATTCCTGAGCATGAAGAATTATTAGTAACATTACCACGACAACATTTAACATTCAACGATGATCCTGCTTTTTATTTCCTGCAATACCATAATTTACAACATGGTAAGCAACATTATTAGGACATTCGAATGTTGCATCAACATTTTTTAATGCTTTTTTTTATTCCTGAACTTACTGAATCATTAGTATCATTGCCACGGTATTTTAATACTGCAACAACATTTTCTAATGCTGTTTATTTTATTCCTGAACATGCAGAACTATTAGTATAATTACTACGATATTCTAATGCTGCAATAACATTTAATGATGATGCTGCTTTTCATTTCCTCCATTACCATAATTTTTAGCTTGATTAGCAACATTATTAGGACATTCTAATGCTGCAGTAACATTTTCTATTGTTTTTTTTATTCTTGAAATTGTAGCACAATTAGCAAAATTATTAGCACATTCTAATGCTGCAGCAACATTTTCTGATGCTGTCTTTTTTATTTACGAACTTAAAGAATTATTAGCAACATTGCCACGAAATTGTAATGCTGCAACAACATTTGCTAATGTTGCTTTTTTTCCATACAAAACATAAACTTGCCGAACTATTAGCAACATTACTTCGATATTCTAATGCTGCAACCACATTTCATGATATTTATGGTTTTTATTTTTCTGTAATAGCATAATTAGCTACATTATTGGGACATTCTAATGCTGCAACAACATTTTCTAATGTTGTTTTTTTTATTCCTGAACATGCAGAACTATTAGCATCATTACTACCATATTTTAATGCTGCAACAACATTTAATGATGATGCTGCTTTTTTATTTCCTGCATTACCATAATTTTCAGAATAATTAGCTAAATTATTATGACATTCTAATGTTGCAGCATCATATTCTAATGCTGTTGTTTTTATTCCAGAAATTGTACAATAATTAGCAAAATATTTAGGACAGTCTAATGCTGCATCAACATTTTCTGATGCTGTTAATTATTAGCAACATTACCACGACATTCTAATGCTGCAACAACATTTGCTAATGTTATTTTTTGTAATCCGTACAAAACATAAAACTTCAAGACTTATTAGCAACATTACTTCGATATTCTGATGCTGCAACAACATTTCATGATATTTATGCTTTTTATTTCCTGAAATAGCATAATTAGCTAAATTATTAACAGATTCTAATGTTGCAGCAACATTTTTTGATGCTGTTTTTTTATTCCTGAATTTGCAGATTTACTAGCAACATGTGCACAATATTTTAATACCATATTTGCGAGCATATTTGCAATATTGCACTGCAGTTGCAGATGCTGCAGGAAATATTATTGATCCTAAATAAAAATTGCTTTATTAATAACGACATTACACAATTTTAGCTTTTAAAATGTGGGTACAAAAAAAATTTCCGGTTTCACAATATTCTTTTTTAATGTTATTCAAAAGTGTTTTAATGCCGGAAACAAAATTGTAACCGACTCTTTATACAACAAAGAGTATTATTTATATAAAATAAAACAAAAAGAAAAATAAAAATAAGTTTAAATGCAAATTCTAAGTAAAATCTCCTTTTAAAAAACATTTTCTGAATCATTATAGAGAATTAGAAGTTAAGAGGAGAAGTAAGAGAAGCAGTAAGAGAAGTTTTCTCAGAAATGAAGAACATTACTACGGAAATATTATATATATATTGTAAAAAGTTGTGAGGCAAGGGACCTTTCCATACACACCAGATGAGTATAGTTTCGATTGGTTGAGTCTTTCAGAGCTGAATGGCCGTGTAAACAGCACCTTTCGACACATGCGCATTGTGAAAGTTAGTTAAATCGAGAGCACACCATGTAGCTCTCCTGCTGTTCTGTAGTAGTCTGCCTCTACTCTGAATTTCTGATGCCAGTGTTGAACAAACATCCACACGGGAGACATCGATTCGTGCCGTCATTCCTTTGTGTGTGTATGTGTGTGTGTGTCTCTCTTCTTCCTTTCAATCTCAACAAATATTTTTATAAAAAAAAGAAGAATATTAAGTTTATCGATAGTCAAAAAAAATGTCTCATCTGATTAGATGACACATATACAATTCATTCATAAATTATATTTTTTACTCAGCCCTACAAATATGGAGGAAGAAACTTCCTGGATTCCCCTTTGAGAGAGTGCCGACTTGCCCATAAGCAAGGAGCCTAATCAATAGTCTGATAGTCTCGCAGGATATTCACATCAAGTGTTTTATTGTGCCTTTTTGATATTATTACATTCAAAAATAAAATACTCTGAAATGTCGCAGAGCAGAGAATAGTCAAAAGACAAAGAAGCTGCTAATTGAGAATGTAACTGAAAAATAGAATCCGGGCCAATGTCCTCTACTGAATAAATTTAAACATGTGATATAGTATATTTTCTATTATATCATACTGATTTTGAAGCGAATAATCCGAATTTTTGTGAGAAAAGAAGAAAAAATTTACTACTTACGATGTCAATAGTGAATTATATTATCAATCTATTATGATTAGTAACATTATAATCATCCTCAATATCAGGATTTTACTGTTTATGGAAATGTTTCCTTAAGGATTGTTATTCTTGAAGATAAGTAGTTGCTAGGACGCCATTTTGGAATGGACAGACTTTTTACCATCCACCTGTTCCCAACAGGTTTCCTCGATTGATAACCGTAAAGAGGAGAATTCTTTTTTGTATCCAGTAACCGTTGTGCCATGTACAATCCTCATATAATCATTTCATACCCAAATGGATTAATCTTCCTTTCAAAAAATTTTTTTTTGATCATTTCTAAAAGAAATGAATCGCAATTCTGAAGAACAACAAGACTGCAAACAACGAAATTAAGAGTTGATTTGATTTTTCAAGGGGATTTTTGAAGTAAAAAATTTCGTGTTCCTTTTTTTGTAGCGTGTTTTTTGTTTAAAAAAAAAAAGTGTCGATTTGTGAGAAAGAGTCCGTGCACGTTAACGTGCCGGGCAAAACAAACGAGAGAACTGAATCGATTCTCAGTGGGGAAATAATATCTTCATCATTATCATCATCATCGAAAAAAGATACAATGCTGTGCTTTGTACAAGCTTTTGGATCACGAGAGGATTCAAAAAATAGACGCTCCAAAAGGTAATTAGATTAAATATAAATATAATGATGGATGAGGAATGAAACGAGTGAATGATTATTGTTGGCTTTCTAAATGCTGCAATTACTTGTTGAAAAGAAAGTGTAGGAAAATTTACAAAGACGAATTAATTTTGTACATTTAAAGAAAAGAAATTTGTTTGGGAAAGAGAGAAATTTGTTGGGGCTATTATTTTTTATGGATGACTTCGCAATTATTTCCGAACCATTCTTTGGGGATTTGCAGAATCTTTGTGATAAACAATTTTGAGGAAAACTAATTTTTAGCGTTTGTCAAATAAACAAATTTTGATGTTGTGTAACTCGATGCTTTAATTGCACTATATTGTGCCATATTATGCATTTATTGCCGAATAGTTAGTTACAGTATAGCTTTCTAAAACAGCTGTCCCACTACTGCGTCAAAAGAGGAACACTTGTTCTAATTAGATCCGGAATTTTGCAGTAATAATGATACCAGTAATTTATTAATATTGTTCTGGAACAATCAAAAAAGGGGATTATGATTTTTTGTTAAATTCTGCTTTTGGTTTTGCATTCTAACATTGTTCTGCATTTTTTATACAGCAGACTTGTAGCATAAGTTTTGGAACCTGCTCCAAAATAGTTTCAGAATTCAGTAACTGAAGCATGCTGCAAGTTTCTGCAACAATACATATTTTATACAAAAATATTTTATACAGCTTTAATACTGTATTTAGGATTTTTTTCTTTAATTTTTGTTCTGCAAATGTTTTGCCACTAAAATGCAACATAAGTTCTGAAACTTCTTCATAAAGTTAGTTCTTAATTTTTTCTTTAACAGTTCTGCATCTGTTGTGTAACTATAACGATGAAACATAAGTTCCAGATCTTTTTAAAAATAGTTCCTAAAGTTTGCAGCAACAATTCTGCAACTGTTGTGAAACATATTTTAAATTTTCATTTAGAACTTCATTTAGAACTTAGTACAATTAGTTGTTTGATTCTACATTAAAAGTTCAGCTTCTGCAGCAACATTTTCTGATGCTGTTTTTTGTTTCCTGCATTACCATAATTTACAACATGATTAGCAACATTATTAGGACTTTCTAATGTTGCAACAACATTTGCTAATCTTGTTTTTTTAATCCATGCAAAACATAAAGTTGCAGAACTATTAGCATCATTACTACGATCTTTTAATGCTGCGACAACATTTTTAAGGTTGATGCTGCTTTTTATTTTCTGCATTTCTATGTTCAGCATGATTCGCAACATAATTAGGACATTCTAATGTTGCAGCAACATTTTCTAATGCTTTTTTTTATTTCTGAACTTACAGAATCATTAGCATCATTACCACGGTATTCTAATGCTGCAACAACATTTTTTAATGCTGTTTTTTTTATTCCAAACAAAACATAAACTTGCAGAACTATTAGCAACATACTAATGCTACAACAACATTTCTTGATATTTGTGCTTTTCATTTCCTGCATTACCAAAATTTTCAGCTTGATTATTAACATTATTGGGACATTCTAATGCTGCAGCAACATTTTCTGATGCTGTTTAATTTATTCTTAAATTTGAAGCACAATTAACAAAATTATTAGGATATTCTAATGGTGCAACAAAATTTGCCAATGTTGTTTTTTTATTCCGTACAAAATATAAACTTGCAGAACTATTAGAAACATTACTTCGATATTATAATGCTGCAACATAACATCTGGATCTTTTTAAAATTAGTTCTCAAAGTTTGTAGCAACAGTTCTGCAACTGTTGTGTAACAGATTTAAAATAATGAAAACTTCTATTAAAAATTACTTGTTTGAATTTTGCTGCAACAATTCTGCATCTATTGTACAACATGTTTTAAATGTTCCTTTAGAACTTCAGTTAGAACTTATGATTAAAATTATTTGTTTAATTTTTCGTTAAAAGTTCTGTAACTGTTGTGTAACATACGAACATTCAAGTGGTACTTATGCAGCATATGTTTTAGAACTTCTTTTTAGTTTAAAAAATTTTAAAAATTAGTTAAAAAATGTTACTGCATCAGTTCAAGAACACTACGCAAATAATAACAATATTAACAGCCTCGAATTTTTTCTATTAAAATATAAATTATTTTTTATCAGCACAGTTAGAGAATTTTTATTCATCTCTTCTAAACCGAACAAAATGTTTCAGTAAATGTTCCTCTTGTATTTTATAGAATTACAGATTCTTTCTGCAAACATATATTATATCCGCAAATTAAAATTTGTCCCCAGCAGTTGTTTTGAATAGTGATAAGAAGAATGGTTTGTTCGCCTCTCTATAGGCTTCTGCTCTGCTATTTGACACTATCAAGTTACACACCAAGGTTTCACTAATAAAATTAGTTGACCATGATCCAATTTTTATCACCACAACTTTAAGTGCTCCAAACTTATGAATGTTCAATGACACTGCAAATTGCAAATTTGCAAAAAAATCCCCCCACCATATTTTCGATAATGATAAAATTAATTTTTTACCTCAATAATAATTTTGAGCACAATAATTTGAGCCAGACAAGCTTAATAATATTATTAATAGAAGTCTAAAGAAGTTTCAATATAGAATTCGTCTCAGGATATATTTATAATTAAACATTTTTAAACAATTTTTAAATATTTAAATACAATAAAGTAAAAATAATAATAGGTAAATAAAATAAAGTTTTTAAATACTTTTGAAAAATTGAAAATACTCTAATAGATATTATTTCAGATGTTAAAATTATTGATAAAAAATTGATATCAGATTTATTTTTGGTCCACACATTTGATTCGTAGAAAAACACCTGTTTTTCGTTTAGATGAAGAAAAAAATTCCAAATGTATAATCTGATTATGAAGATGATAAAACTTTTGCAGCTGTTGGCGCGATTGTTATCTATAATTTTTTCTTATCAATTAATAGCCGAATGATTAAATATACACGACGCGAGATCAGCAATCTTTTGTTATACAATCTTATTATTTACATTAAAAATTTTAAATGCATTCGCTAATTAATCATATTGTATTGTTTTTTTTAATTAATATTAAAATATTTAATTAATTAAATATTTAGTATTCAAAAGGGACTAAAGTAGTTTTTGGAAAAATCAATTTTCGATGTTTTCATTTTTGTAACTTTTTGTGACCATATTTTTTGTCCCATGAAAAAACAAGAAACGCTATTTTCTTCTTTTTCTTTATGAAAAAACGAATAAAATGACCTATTATAAATTTTGCATTAAATTAAAACATTCTGGCAACAAGTCAATTTGGTACTCCAATTGTACTTCTACTTATGAGCCAGAGGTTAAAAAAGAAATTAAAAATACAAAAAAAATAATATTCTTCATTAAATATTAAAATTACAAATTTTAATTCATTAACATTAAAATTTCACTGTATAAATATTTAGAAATAAAAGAGAAAATTCGAAAGGAAATTACCTTTTTCCGGACAAATTGATTTTGTGTGCATTTCAAAGGAGATAGGAACAAAGAGAGAATATTTCAATCTCGTCTCTTATTTGATTATTTTTATTCTTTGTGTTCTTTCCCAGGTGCGAATTTTGGTCGGCCGCCAGAGTTGGCAGGTCGGGCCCAGGTCGGCCCATCTATGGCTGCCAATAGGTCGGCAGCCAAAGTCGGGCCGACTTTGGTTACTGTTTCCACCCAAGTTTGGGCCGACTATGGGTGCCAAAGTTTAGAGAACCTAATTTTAGTTGGTCGGGCCGACTCTGGCCTGAGTCGGGCCGACGGTCGGTAAAACTATGGCAGCCAGAGTGCAAAAAACCTAATTTCACTTGGTCGGGCCGACTCTGTCCTGAGTCGGGCCGACGGTCGGTAAAACTATGGCAGCCAGAGTTTAAAAAGGTTAATTTCTGTTGGTCGGGCCGACTTTGGCCTGAGTCGGGCCGATGGTGGGTTAAACTATGGCAGCCAGAGTTTAAAAAACCTAATTTCAATTGGTCGGGCCGACTCTGGCCTGAGTCGGGCCGACGGTCGGTAAAACTATGGCAGCCAGAGTGCAAAAAACCTAATTTCACTTGGTCGGGCCGACTCTGGCCTGAGTCGGGCCGATGGTCGGCTAAAGTATGGCAGCCAGAGTTTAAAAAGGTTAATTTCTGTTGGTCGGGCCGACTTTGGCCTGAGTCGGGCCGATGGTCGGTAAAACTATGGCAACCAGAGTTTAGAGAACCTAATTTTAGTTGGTCGGGCCGACTCTGGCCTGAGTCGGGCCGATGGTCGGCTAAAGTATGGCAGCCAGAGTTTAAAAAGGTTAATTTCTGTTGGTCGGGCCGACTTTGGCCTGAGTCGGGCCGATGGTGGGTTAAACTATGGCAGCCAGAGTTTAAAAAACCTAATTTCAATTGGTCGGGCCGACTCTGGCCTGAGTCGGGCCGACGGTCGGTAAAACTATGGCAGCCAGAGTGCAAAAAACCTAATTTCACTTGGTCGGGCCGACTCTGGCCTGAGTCGGGCCGACGGTCGGTAAAACTATGGCAGCCAGAGTTTAGAGAACCTAATTTTAGTTGGTCGGGCCGACTCTGGCCTGAGTCGGGCCGATGGTGGGTTAAACTATGGCAGCCAGAGTTTAAAAAACCTAATTTCAATTGGTCGGGCCGACTCTGGCCTGAGTCGGGCCGACGGTCGGTAAAACTATGGCAGCCAGAGTGCAAAAAACCTAATTTCACTTGGTCGGGCCGACTTTGGCCAGAGTCGGGCCGATGGTCAGTTTGAAGTTGCAGCTTATAAAATCATTTTTGTTCTTAGGCTTTCATGTAAGCGTAGCGTAATGGTTAGCGTGTTAGACTTCGGTGCGTTAGGTTGCGAGTTCGATTCCTGCGAGCGTTAGAAATTTTAATTTGTATTTATGTGTAAGATTGCGTTTAGTGTTAAGATGTATACAATAAACAAATAAATAATGAATAATAATAATTAATAATAATAATAAATAATTAATAATTTTTTGCAATCGGTCGGCCGACTTTTG